GTAGCTGATGTAATAAGGAGTAACTTACGCTACTGTTATTTTAGAAAAATAAAATAAAATTTCACGCGGACGAAGTCGCTGGGGCCAGCTAGTCTATAGATATACCGAGATTTAATATTTAAGTTGCTATTATGTTGTTGACAAAATTTTACTGTAATGTTACTATTACGTTATCCTACACAATTTGTATTATTTTGGATGAATAAATAAATAATTCTAGATATAAATTTTGTCTGTCTGTCTGTCGGTCTGTTTGTTCCGGCTAATCTCTGAAATGGCTGGACCGATTTTGACGGTACTTTTTTTTGGCAGGTAGCTGATTTATAAGGAGTAACTTAGGTTACTTTTATTTTAGAAAAATAAAGTTAAATTCCACGCGGACGAAGTCGCGGGAACAGCTTGTTTTTAATAAAAACGGTTTATTTGATAGAAAAAACATCTTTTTTGTGGTACTTGAGAATGTTGAAGCATGTTGTTTGTAATATTGAAATAACCGTTTTTTACTACTTGCAGATGAATATAAATACGGTACATACACCAAAATAACATATTTTACAATTTTTGTCCGTCTGTCTGTTTGTTCCGGCTAATCTCTGAAATGGCTGGACTGATTTTGACGGGACTTTTTTTGGCAGGTATCTGATGTAATAAGGAGTAACTTAGGCTACTTTTATTTTAGAAAAATAAAGTTAAAAACCACGTGGACGAAGTCGCGGGAACAGCTAGTGTATAATATATTAGAGATACCTACGTGTTTTTTTATTGATGACTAGCTGTACACGCGATTTCGTCCGTGTTGAATTTAACTTTATTTTTCTAAAATATAAGAAGTTAAATTCCACGCGGACGAAGTCGCGTGTACAGCTAGTTGTCGGTAGTCTAGCGATTTAGCTAGCACACTGCTTTGATTCCTGCTTGGTGGTCGAGGGTTCGATTCCTCGCACGCTGCAAACATTTGTATTCATGAGTATGATTGTTTGTAACGGTCTGGGTGTTATCTATGTATAGATAATATATATGTATTTACGAAAAAAAATCTTTGTATTTATATCAGTACCCATAACATAATCTTCAGCTAGCTTAACTTGGGTCTAGATGAAGCTGTGTGAATTGTCCTGAGATTACTATTATTACTATAATAAATCTTTTCAAATCAGCCGATGTTTATTTTTGCCATAATACGTGCTGTTACCATGTGATAATATTACGTACGTACTTATTAAACTATTAACTTATTATTAAATTGTTTGTAACGGTCTGGGTGTTTTCTATGTATAGATAATATATATGTATTTACGAAAAAAATCTTTGTATTTATATCAGTTGTCTAGTACCCATAACATAATCTTCAGCTAGCTTAACTTGGGTCTAGATGAAGCTGTGTGAATTGTCCTGAGATTACTATTATTATTAATTGGTACACAGGTAAACTACTAACTAGGCCATATTGGTGTTGTTTGTTATGGTGAAAAAACTAGTATATATATAAGTTACACGTACAATTTCAAAGACTTATTTCTTGAAAACTACTGGCTATTCTGAAATAAAACTTTAGGGTTTGCATATGTAATGTTTGCATATAAAATATGATTAAAGGTTACCAGTGTATTTACACTTTTACTGAACAAACAGAGTTGTTTAATACTGAAAATATTGTGTGGAAGGCATCAATTACTTTCAGTGCATGTATAGCTTTTCTCTTTTCCTAATTATTATTATTATTAAGTTTAAAGTGGTTGAATTTTACGTAAGGAGTATTTATACATTATTTCTAATTTACCATTTATTTTAAGTTTTTTAAACTCTATTCATCGAGACCTATCTAATGAGTCCAAACACGATATTTCTGCTGTAAGTTTTCGAAGAGTATGTTCATCATCTGATAATACTGGTGCCAGCATGAAGTCAAGGTTAACAGATAACTAATTACTTTTATTTCGTCAAAATCTTTAGATTACGTATAATAAATTCATAATATCGCTACCTATTCAAATCAAAACAAGTATTAGGTACTTCATGTACTAGTATATAAATTCATCAACACACAAGTAAATGATTTTTAAATATATTCAGAGCCAAAAAATCTTTGTGCATTTAAAAAATTTTGCCGATACGGATTCACTATTGCAGTAAATTGTTGAAAAAATATATATCGAGTATAGGTATCTACTACTATCGACGAATACATTTGGCAACAATGCATGGTCTCGGTCGGAACGGCAACATCGCATATTAGAATACAAAGATAGTGGTAGAACGCGGAACGGCAACATGTTGCCGTTCCGCCACGCTACCGTTATAGTGGTAGAAAGAGAGAGATAGTGGAATCAGCAATATCTACGGATCGTGGCTGGATCAACTAAGTGAGCAAGTGTATATATATATATATATATATACATTTGTCTTTAATTCAAAGGAAATATAAATAATGAACGCATCACATTTAAAACAGTAATAAGTACGTACGTAATGTTATCACATGGTAACAGCACGTATTATGGCAAAAATAAACATCGGCTGATTTGAAAAGATTTATTATAGTAATAATAGTAATCTCAGGACAATTCACACAGCTTCATCTAGACCCAAGTTAAGCTAGCTGAAGATTATGTTATGGGTACTGATATAAATACAAAGATTTTTTTTCGTAAATACATATATATTATCTATACATAGAAAACACCCAGACCGTTACAAACAATCATACTCATGAATACAAATGTTTGCAGCGTGCGAGGAATCGAACCCTCGACCACCAAGCAGGAATCAAAGCAGTGTGCTAGCTAAATCGCTAGACTACCGACAACTAGCTGTACACGCGACTTCGTCCGCGTGGAATTTAACTTCTTATATTTTAGAAAAATAAAGTTAAATTCAACACGGACGAAATCGCGTGTACAGCTAGTCATCAATAAAAAAACACGTAGGTATCTCTAATATATTATACACTAGCTGTTCCCGCGACTTCGTCCACGTGGTTTTTAACTTTATTTTTCTAAAATAAAAGTAGCCTAAGTTACTCCTTATTACATCAGATACCTGCCAAAAAAAGTCCCGTCAAAATCAGTCCAGCCATTTCAGAGATTAGCCGGAACAAACAGACAGACGGACAAAAATTGTAAAATATGTTATTTTGGTGTATGTACCGTATTTATATTCATCTGCAAGTAGTAAAAAACGGTTATTTCAATATTACAAACAACAGGCTTCAACATTCTCAAGTACCACAAAAAAGATGTTTTTTCTATCAAATAAACCGTTTTTATTAAAAACAAGCTGTTCCCGCGACTTCGTCCGCGTGGAATTTAACTTTATTTTTCTAAAATAAAAGTAACCTAAGTTACTCCTTATAAATCAGCTACCTGCCAAAAAAAAGTACCGTCAAAATCGGTCCAGCCATTTCAGAGATTAGCCGGAACAAACAGACAGACAGACAGACAGACTAAAATTATAAAAATAGTTATTTTGGTATATGTACCTTATATATATTCATATGCATGTAGTAAAAAACGGTTATTTCAATATTACAAACAGACACTCCAATTTTATTTATATGTATAGATTATTATTTATTTATTTATTTATTCATCCAAAATAATACAAATTGTGTAGGATAACGTAATAGTAACATTACAGTAAAATTTTGTCAACAACATAATAGCAACTTAAATATTAAATCTCGGTATATCTATAGACTTGCTGGCCCCAGCGACTTCGTCCGCGTGAAAATTTTATTTTATTTTTCTAAAATAACAGTAGCGTAAGTTACTCCTTATTACATCAGCTACTTGCCAAAAAAAGTCCCGTCAAAATCGGTCCAGCTATTTCAGAGATTAGCCGGAACAAACAGACAGACAGACAGACTATACTATGCTATACTATGTAATGATTGATATACCTAAAATAAATAAAATATCTGAGGTTTGGACAAAAACTCAAAGGGTAATTTATTTTGAAAAAGTATTTTGAAAATACTTATTTTGCTTTTAGTGTTATAGTACTTTAAGTGTTATATTTTAAGTAACAATGTTTAATTATAATTAATACCACTGCACCAACACTCCGATCGTGCAAAAAATTTAGCTGTTTCATTATTTTTTAGTTCAATTAGTGGTCTACCTAAGTCCTGGGCTAAGGGGGGGAGAGTCATGACCCCCCATGACTCCCAAGACCTCCATGACGCTCCCCCCTGGATCCGCCGTTACGTCTTTTCTTCATTCGCTCAGTAACGTTGTTACAAAAGGAAAAATTCCCGTCCAAAAAATAACAAGTATTGAGGTTTGATCTGGAGTCACGTTACTCCAGACTGATTTCTATAAATATTTAGATTAGATAGACTATTATTCTTGAAATACTAGCTAGACATTATTAAGTTACTGTAGTCATAATGTAGTAGCCCAAACGTGCCAATGAGGAAGCCCTTGGCAAATGCTGCACCCTGATTGGCCCGTTTGAATTGGATCAAGAACTGCTCGTATGCCAAAAAGGTGGATTTGTATAAAATCGTGTATAAATCGCTTAATTATTATTATTACTCGTCGTGACAGTTGTGGCTCAAAACGGATCAACATTTATATATGGTCAGCTGGCATTAGATCAACAAAAGGCCTCCGGATCAACAAGTGAAAATGGATCAACAAAAAACTACCTATACGGCACGTCTGAGCCACAAAGTGCCCAAGGGGATATTTATATATATATATATATATATATATATATATATAACACTAACATAAACACATACAATTATGCTGTAAAAATAAGTAATTGACAGTGAAACTAATATGAAATCATTCAATCGTATATTTTATACTGTTCAAGCCGTAACTGATTCCCTGGTTTTTTTTCCGAGCGGTACTTATTATTTCCGCCATCTTGGGAAACTCGGTAAATCCATTCGGAAATATAAGTGTTGAAAAGTTTACTCCAACTTCCCAGTGTGTAGGTTGTGAAATTATACAAGAGGAATATTGTGAATAACTTTATTGCTATATAATTGGTGATATAAATTACAAAAAACGTAAATTAAACAATGTGGATGTTCTATTATTAAATAAACAATATATAGTTTCTTCCTTATAGTTTTACATTAAATTATATAAGTTGAAGAATATGAATAGTTATAATAATAAATACAATTAACAGTGTGCTAGTTTGAAGAAAAATCTTATTCCTACCCGATCCAAAAGTTCCATTAAATATTACAATATTATATTTTGTTATGTCAAAACTGAAAATACAATTATGCATACATTATTAATAATATAACATATTGTATTATTTATATTACTAATAATGTTTGCATAGTTTGCATTACATTTATTGAAAAATTACATATTAGTTGATATATTTTTTAATTTTTCGATGTGCTTGCGCAGGCAGCGCTGGCACAGTTGCAGTCAGCACAACTTACAATATCTCCTTTCTCATTCTTGCAGATGCAAACACATGATTTCCCACCAGTTGCAATGCAAACGCACTTCGAGTTGTCACATTTGCAATTACAGTCTTGAGTCTTTGTGCATTTACAGTCATCGCAGCGAATGAACTTCCCTTCTTCATTTTGGCACACACAGATACAAGACTTTCCATCTGTTGGAATACAAACGCATCCAGCCTTGTCACATTTCTTGTCACAGCATGTAGCTGCGTCTCTCTTATCAGAGTAACAAGTACAGTCATCGCAGGATATTATATTACCTTTATCATCGCGGCAAACACAAATGCAAGCAGCTCCTTTGGTTGCAATGCAAACACACTTCGAGTTGTCACATTTGCAATTACAGTCTTGATTCTTTGTGCATTTACAGTCATCGCAGCGAATGAACTTCCCTTCTTCATTTTGGCACACGCAAATACAGGATTTTCCACCTGTCGGAATGCAGACGCACCCAGCCTTGTCACATTTCTTGTCACAACCCGTAGCTATGTCACTCTTCTCAGAGTAACAAGTGCAGTCATCACAGGATGTTATGTTTCCTTTCTCGTCGCGGCAAACACAAATGCAGGTAGCTCCTTTGGTTGCAATGCAAACGCACTTCGAGTTATCACATTTGCAATTACAGTCTTGAGTCTTTGTGCATTTACAGTCATCGCAGCGAATAAACTTACCCTCTTCATTTTGGCATACGCAAATACAGGATTTTTCACCTGTCGGAATACAGACGCATCCAGCCTTGTCACACTTCTTGTCACAACCCGTAGCTATGTCACTCTTCTCAGAGTAACAAGTGCAGTCATCACAGGATATTATGTTTCCTTTTTCATCGCGACAAACGCAAATGCAGGCAGCTCCTTTGGTTGCAATGCAACCGCACTTCGAGTTATCACATTCGCAATTACAGTCTTGACTCTTTGTGCATTTACAGTTATCGCAGCGAATGAACTTCCCTTCTTCATTTTGGCACACGCAAATACAGGATTTTCCACCTGTCGGAATGCAGACGCACCCAGCCTTGTCACATTTCTTGTCACAACCCGTAGCTACGTCACTCTTCTCAGTGTAACAGGTGCAGTCATCACAGGATGTTATGTTTCCTTTCTCGTCGCGGCAAACACAAATGCAGGCAGCTCCTTTGGTTGCAATGCAAACGCACTTCGAGTTATCACATTCGCAATTACAGTCTTGAGTCTTTGTGCATTTACAGTCATCGCAGCGAATAAACTTACCCTCTTCATTTTGGCATACGCAAATACAGGATTTTCCACCTGTCGAAATACAGACGCATCCAGCCTTGTCACACTTCTTGTCACAACCCGTAGCTATGTCACTCTTCTCAGAGTAACAAGTGCAGTCATCACAGGATGTTATGTTTCCTTTCTCGTCGCGGCAAACACAAATGCAGGCAGCTCCTTTGGTTGTAATGCAAACGCAATTAGAGTTGTCACATTTGCAATTACAATCTTGACTCTTTGTGCATTTACAGTCATCGCAGCGAATGAACTTCCCTTCTTCATTTTGGCACACACAGATGCAAGATCTCCCATCAGTGGGAATGCAGACGCATCCAGCCTTGTCACACTTCATGTCACAGAGACGGTTCTTTTCGACAGTTACGTTGCAGCACGGCATCTTGAAGAATCTGTTGACAATAATAAAATATTTGCTCATAACTTATTATTGTTACCATATACTTACAAGTATCTTTGCAATATAAATTACTATATGTATACAAGTACAGTACAAAACTCCCTAAATTAAAAAAAAGAATAAAAATACAATACATACGTATATAGTAATTTATATTGTAAGTTATATATCTACAAATCGTTACTATTGATTTATCAAATGGTAAATAATAAAAACTTAAACATTCGAGCCATCTGTGCCATTATAAAGAGGTAAAGTAAGAATTTGTGATGTTGTAGGAGGTAATGTCTGGATGTATTGAACCGATTATGAAAGTTATTTTAGTGTTATTCACACTAAAATCATTTATCGAGAGAGGCTATTATACTATCTAATGTATAGTATATACATAACATACAAAAATGAACATAGTAGTATTATAAATGCAAAGGGTGGCTGTCAGTCTGATAAACTCTGATACCTTTTCAAGTCTAAACGACTAAACGGATCTTAATTAAATTTGACATAATGATAGATTAAACAATGAGCACGGATATGGGCTATATTTTTATTTAAAAATAATCATGTGAAGTTTGTGAAGAAGGGTTCAAGAGTTATTATAGAAGCGAAAGTGTGTCTGTTTGTACCCTTACACGACTTAAACGAATCTTAATGATATTTGACTTGAAATGAAACTGTAACAGCAAAAGAAACATGTACTATTTTATCTAAAAAAAAAAACAGAGAAATCCCCTAATAACGTAATACAAAAAACACAATCAGACCGATAACATCGCCTGAATTGAGTAAATAAAATAAACAAATCTATAAGAGATAAGCGCTAACAACACAAAATCTAAACATAGTATAACAATTACTTACGTATTCTGATACGCTGGTCCGTGTCGTTCGAATGATAAGCAGGTTGTACACTGATAGTGATAATGCCCGGGGCCGTTTATATTCATTTGATAATGATACCGTGCGCAAAACAATTGCGCTCCGCCCGTGTCGTGTGCAAGGGCCGCGTGAATGACTCATATGACGTCACTAGTAGCGTGTGAATTCGATGTCAGTTGAATGTCACTAGAAATTTCTAGAATGTAATATTTTATTTACAGTTTATTTCTATAAATGACGTGAAATCGAATTTTCTAGAATGTACTATTTAATGCATTGCACTACATCCTAGTCTTCCATATTCTAGAAGATTATTGTTGAAGTCAATTTTATAAAATACTAGCTGACTCGCGAAACTTTGTCTGCATCACACTTACTTGATATTTATCATTAAATTATGTGTTACTCTGATATATAAGCTACATTTTTGTAAGGTTTCATCAAAATCCGTTCAGTAGTTTTTGCGTGAAAGACTGAAAGAGTAATAAACATCCAGCATCACAAATTTTCGTGTTTATAATATTAATAAAATCATCGTAGAGACCTCCGCCAATCTCTTTGCTTTGTAAACTGTATTTCGGTTGAAAGGTGATATTATAGGTACTCGCCCCGGCTTCGCACGGGTGTACGTGTATTATGTATATATAAACCTTCCTGTTGAATCACTCAGGCGTGAAGTATAATATATTAGTAATAACTGTATAAAGACAAACTTTATTAAATAACAAGCTATGTAAACTCTATGAAATTATCGTCACAGGTTATCTATTAAAAAAAAGATTCAGAATCTGTTGCGTAGTTTTAAAAATTTAATCATACATAGGGACAGACATTCCGGAGGTCTAAGATGTCACAGCGACAGCGACTTTGTTTTATACTATGTAATGAAGAGGCATTACATAGTATAAAACAAAGTCGCTGTCGCTGTGACATCTTAGACCTCCGGAATATCAAGTCTTCGCATGAGTGGTATTGTGTTGGAAATGAAACTGGACTTGCATGTCCAGCCCATTATTGATAAGACTCTAGTAGAGAGTAAAAATTGAAGAGACGTTTAAATGTTAATTATTTTAACACACAGAAGGAACTAGATAATACGGATGAAACTTGGTACTCGTATCTACTAGATCTATCTATCGTATCTATCTATAGATAGATAGCTATCTAGCTAGATCATACATTTTATCCTAATATTTGCAAACAACCCATAATCTTAATTCCAGAAAAAATCAATAATTCTAGAAATCCGATGTATAACCTAATGTCACACGGTGACGCGTTGGTTAGTGTCGTGCGGAAGGAATTACGTGAGTCATTTTGCAAATAGTACATGCACACGATAGAACCCGAACTATTTGTATGGAAAAACTTCATAGTGCATTTAAAAATCGAAATTTCTAGAGGATAACATGTGAATAGGAATTCGAAAATATTTAAATTATAAAAAGATTACCTGACCGTCGCTGTTTTGCCATAAAAATTGAAAAACTAATATCCCTATAAAAAACAGGGATTGATCGTAAAAGTTTGAAAATTTGAAGTTGTATGTATATTTCAATGCTAAATGATAATAAAATAAAATTTGCTATTTTTTTTATATTTAGGGGTGGGTCAGCTTTATCATTGAGGAGTATGAAAAATGGATGTTGGCCGATTCTCAGATATACCCGATTTGGAGATAAAATTTCATAAAAATAGGTCAAGCCGTTTCGGAACATCATGGTAACTAACATTGTGACACGAGCATTTTATATATAAGATAACATGGTTAGTATAATATCTTTACACGTCGCGTCGCGTCGTTGGTTTAGTATCGTGTGGAAGGAATTAGATAAGTCAGTTTGTACTCGTGCTGTGACATACAGTTTTTTTTTTCGGAGTGCTCTAATACTGTTGGCCGCAGATGGCCTTTACAGCTTCACCGGACGATAGAGGCAAGTGCAGATGGCACTCCAAACCCGCGGAAGGACTTAAGGAGCGGCTGAAGGCCAACTCTCGCCTGACGGATACGACTTTAGTCTGAGGGCACCACTAGGGGTTCGAACCTCGGCTCAGGCCAACGTAACATCGATCCCCGTTGAATTGGACGGGCGGCATTTGCAACTTCGTAGTGTAATTGTAGTTTAAAGTACCTTCCTAACCGGCAAATGCACTTTGGAATCTATTCTCAATATCGATATAATTCCAATTGGTCATATCAAATACGCTGAAGGTATTTATTTAAGAAATATACTTACCGTAAGTGGTTTGAATCCAGTCTTTACTCGATCAAGAATATTTATCAAAATAAGCTTTAAAATTTTAATAATATATTAAACGTAAAATGTTCTTGAACACTTATTCTTTACTGTACATAGAAATAAATGCAAATATTGTTTACAACAAAACTGCTTTGAAACGCCTTGACCGATACCTTGAAATTTTGTGTTGTGTCTGAGCATAGGACATAAACTATTTTTCATACCTCGAAGTGATAAGGGTAATTATTTTTGTATTTTTCGATTATGCATTAACAAATTCAACCTAAAATTCATACCATTCTACGATCAACGCCTATTTCTTAATAGCGATATATATGGCAAGACAACGTGTGCCGGGTCAGCTAGTATTGAAAAAAAATATCACAGCTCCTATAAAGCTATTAATTGTTTCATATATATAACAAATTATGTTATTTATTGTATGACATTTAAGTAGTTTATTATACACGCTACTCTCCCACCCATATAAGTTTAAAATCTCAAGGCAACAACACCCACGCTTTCCGGAATATTTGCAATCTGTCCGTCTGTATACTCGTAATATTATTAATTGCATTCTGACTAGTTCCAACTTTACAATGAATAAATGGATAAACTGGCACTTTAGTAACATAATGATATACCTTCGCTGAGTTATCTCAGTTGGGTAGTGAGAGAGTGAAATATTTCGACGGCATGAACACAAGCTTATCAACTTAATTTTTTTTTTATAACACGGGGGACAAACGAGCATGCGGCTCACCTGATGGTAAGTGATTACCGCCGCCCATGAGCACCCGCAACACCAGGGAATTGCAAGTACGTTGTCGGCCTTTTAAAAAGGAATAAGCTCTTTTCTTGAAGGTTTCAATATCGTATCGGTTTATAACTTAACTCTGAAAATACTTGATAAATGTTAATAGTTTAACAATTTAACAAACAAAATGACAAGGCAGTAGTTGTTCATGCACGTGATGTGATAGTCATCGATGCCTACATAAGTACCTAAACAATGTTAAAAACTGGCTATAAAAAAAAGAAATTCAGCTCAGTTTTTTGCTAGTTCTTCTCAATTGAGTCTGTTTCTATTGTGTATTCTAAACTGGATTATAGGGAAAAAATATTAATACAAAAAACTTGACGTTCATAAGCGACTAAAATGTCCTATATGAATAAGTGATCATTTATTTCATTTATAGACGACTCGCCGCGGCTACGCACGGGTGTACATGTATTATATACATATATTTTATATATAAAATTCTCGTGTCACAGTTTTCGTTCCCATACTCCTCCGAAAAGGCTTGACCGATTCTCATGAAATTTTGTGAGCGTATTGAGTACGTCTGAGAATCGGCCAACATCTATTTTTCATCCCCCTAAATGTTAGGGGTAGTCCATCCCTAAATTTTCTTTTTTATTTTAAGGCAAAACAACGTTTGCCGGGACAGCTAGAGATGATATAAAATTAAAAATTAATATGAAACCTGCGTTAATAAATAATACACCTGGATATACGCTGGCCAGTGGAAGATAATAGGACGAGCACAAGGTCAATCCTGGTGAACTTAATTGCTAATGGCTCCAGGGGGCCGCGTGGATTTCGACCTATAATAGTACATTGGAGTCAATAAGGACTTCATACTAACAATCTCTTCACCTACTTTACTACCATTATACTGCTTATAGAATTTCTATACATATAAATATATACCATTTAATCTCACCGATCTTGTAACACTCTAAGTAGGCTATCCTGTACTGTATAAGAAACTAGACAATGAAATACCTGAGGGCACATCCCAGCTTCATGTACAAGTTTTTGCCCGTTACTGCCAACTTATGCAGTCTTTTGTCTACCTAGAAAGTACTACAATTTCTAGACTCAACAGTAACCGATCCTCTGAGATTTAGGTAAAACCAATTAGAAAATACAATTGTAAATGTTATATAAATAGGTTATTTATCGCGATTAGGTTATTAATAAGCTCCCGATATTCCGTTGGTTAAGGGTTGACTAACAGAATTATAAACGATTATTCCGAGAATATAAGTCTGTCCACCCGCTTTCATAGCTTGTTTTGTATAATATATACAAATATATATATATATTTATTTATTTATTTATTTAACTTTAATGCACACAATATAATATATAGTATAGTACATTTGGCGGACTTAACACCATGCGGCATTTTCTACCAGTCAACCATCGGTGGTGCAGAGAATAATTGTTGGCGGTGCAAAATTATAAACATAAACAAAAAGCAACAAAATATATATATATATACAATATATATATATATATATATATTACTTAAGAGATACAATAATATATATAATAACATAAATATATACAAATATGATACCTATATACACATAAATACATACATATATATGCAATAAACTTAAATATATACCAAAAGTCTGACAGTCACAGAACTAAAGAGAGTTAAATGGAAAAAAAAGTGAATTCAGAGAAGAGAGAAAGTTATATATTCAAATAATATTCCCGTAGTTTACGTTTAAAAGACAATTTATTCGTAGCAGTTTTGATATCAGGAGGTAAGTCATTCCAAAGTTTGATTGCCTGAATGGCGAAAGAATAGTGGACGAAACCGGACAAATGAGCCGGGATATGAAGTAAAAATTTTCTGGATGTACGAATACAGTGATTGGTGTTGTCCCCATGGAAATGAAATTTATTCTTAATATAATCAGGAGAATTTGGATCGTATAGAATGGAATAGAGGGTACAAAGCATACGGACATTCCTACGATAGCGGATAGGTAGCCATTTAAGCT